TATATATGCACGTATATATTCTTGAGATGATTTTTGAGCCGTCAACAAAAGTTGAAAAAGTTCTTCAGTAGTACATAGTCATGTTGGATGCTTAGTGATGGATCATGCATACAGTTTGCTTCATGTTTCATCTACTCACTGAACCGCATCCATAACATACTCACCTTCTAATCGGGCTTTTTGCCCTTCCACTTCTGGAGCAGTTAAGTAAGTCATCAACTGCATGATTGATATGATCGTGCATCATGCAGATGGACTATCGTTTCGACTGACTTACTCACCCTGAATTACCTATTGTGGTTGATTCGTACCCACAGATTATCGTACGTATGTGATTCCACGACAGTTTTGTGCTTCGACAATTAACAACTATGTGTATGTTTTTCACGAATCTGGTGTAGTTGGTCTGCTAACGATGTCAAATATGAAAATTGATCGGAGAATGTCTGCTGAAGTTGATTCATTTGGGAATTGTAATCTGATCGAGTGGAAGATTTGAAAACAAGTAGTTCAAACTCTATGACCCACGGATTTATCGCTAAAATCGAAATGATTGTTAATGTTTTGGAGTAATGAAGAGTGAATGATTCAGTCCTAAGAGGAAACTAGCATACTGAACTTGAAGTATTTATCACTTCCGGCTGATTTTGCAAGTATCTATTGAGAGAAAATTGCTCGGCTAGCTGATGTTGACGGCTATTTGTTGAAATCATAAGTGAGTCTAGGTGATCCGTTTCAGCATTCAGTATCAATCTTTCACCTCCAAATCCATAGTTTGCGGTCATTTCATTAAAAAGAGAAGAAAAATATCCGCATGTGAACGATAAAATATCATATTCTCCATGACCATATCGACGGATGGATGGATCGACTGGGCGGGAACTCATTAACGTCCCTTATCCGTTTCGCATTCGTTCGTAGGCACAAACGGTTTGACAACGAATCAAGCGACGACGTTTCCTTCCTCTGCCCAATTAGCGATTCACGTTTTATGAAAAATTCCTTATTTTCGTCTTGTTCACATTCTCTTCAGCAACTGATGAGTATGTTGCTTTGTTTGTCAACATTTATTTCGATTATTTTCCCCAATATCCACCTGTACTTATTCATTCGACATAATTACAGCTTCCTTTCTGTTTTGCTAGATTTGCATCATTTGATCAGTCCGATAGATCAGAATAGATCACATTGAGAACAGGATTAAGGAGGCAAATGTCGAGGAACTGGTGTCATAGACGCTGCTATTGTTTCTGAGGTTTCGTGCCAGAACAGTGAATTTCATGCCGACGAGTTGTTTCGTGTCGACTACTTGCTCAATTGTCACATTCAACTGATAATGCGAGTTGCTTGAGAGGAGAGCCGGTCGTTCATTAGAGTTTGTGATTATGATAATCCTGAATTTACTTTCGACTTTCGACTCACAGCAATTGCGATGAACCAACTATGAATGTCAGTCAATCAATGAAGATCAGCTCATTGATCAAACAACCCAAATCACGGGTGCATTCGTATTTACGAGCTCATGTGAAAGTGCAAAATACTTATTAATGAGAAAGCAAAAACGGTGCGATTGGAATGTAAATAACAAATGATAACAGAACTAAATGCCATCAGTTGCGTTGAGAACGTATGCAATACAGAAGGAACATTGTGTAATTGGCATTTTTTGTTGGTAATTAGGTTTCGATTGAGGAAAGATTTCGTTAAATTGCAGTAAGTATGAGCAAATACACTTTTTTTAAAGGGTGAATCGAGTTGAAAGTTTAAAGATTGTTGAAAAGTTTTTGTTGACAGAAATTCAGTGACTGATCGAGCGACAACTGACTACTCATTTGATATGTTGAATATTTTGTAATTTGTCATTCATTTCGTCGCAAACAAATGATTGGAAGTGAACGAAATGAAAGCAAAAAAAAAATTCCCCACCGCTGTCATAATTACCGAGAGTGCCACTCCAAGCAATCGTCTAAATAGTAATAATTTGTATTGTTCGAAATGCTAAAGAGTGTCGCACGAAAACAACTGCACTCAACTCTCTCATGCGTCAGTGTCGCTGGTGAATCATTCATGTTAATTTCGAAATGCACTCAATTCAGAGGGCAATTCAATTTCAGAATTGAGTGNATAACATTAATAAAATAAATATTCCGCCGATCGTTCACAGCGATAGACAAAACAACCGTTCGATGACCGAGTAACAATAATAGCAACTATTGTAATCATGTTAACAATAATCAGCCATGTATTCAATGCATAATAATAATTATTATTAATATGCATTGAATGCATGGCTGCGAATAGTCTTCCATCGAATAGCCAACTGATACGGTAAACTTTGACGTTACATGCTATTGCTGTTGTTGTTTTCGTTCATATTGCACCATCTAGTCTTCGTTTGATCACCCATTTAAATTCAGCAGTCAATTTGCAAAATCTTTGGAATTTAAGTTAAGACCAAAGAAGATCTGGAACTTAGAAAGTGTCGCTCGATTTTTAGTTTGTATTATCAAATTCAAGTTTCCATAGCATTTGGGCCCTATTTCGGCCCTCGGAAGAAACCTTGACCGCGAATTGACTCTTTGGGTACTCCCAACAACTTGTTCAAATGCAATCCTCCAGTTGTTCGTTTTTTGATCTTTTGATTTTCTCCATTATTTAACGGAGAAATGCCACGCTAAACGCTCAGAATCTAAATATTCAAAGCCGGACTGAATGCAATTAGTCGAAATTCCAAGAAAAATTTCTATGAAGTTAATCGATATGGAGGAATCGTGTGTTGGTTACTTTTGGAAGACGCAGTTGCTTTTTAGGATAATATTCAGTTGGACATACTCATGCAGCACATTTTGCATCGTAAGAATCATTTGGTTATAGAATTGAATCAACAAATAGGACATCTCTAAGCAACCATCGCTTATTTTCTCCTAAATCATATTTTTTCCAATATGATGTTCAATTGTTCGTGTTTTAAAACTTTGAGTTTTCAATCCACTTCGCAGAAAAAAAAGTGTCGCTATGATGACTTGAATAAATGAGGCTGTATTAAAATTGCCTAAACAATTGATGTCGCAGAGCACAACTGCATTTTGAATAACACAAAGCGTCTTGTTTCATTCAAATGCATTCATTTCCCAAGTAATCGTTCGTGTTCTTTTCTTTTTGCTTGTGAATAGAAGCATTTGACAACAGTGAGAAATGTTTGAAAACAATGAGAAATCAGTGAATCATTTTTCAAATGTTCATCATTTTCCTATTGGAAGTTTCGTTTTTGCCATTGATGGATATTTGAATAAACGAATTTGATTTGTAAACATTTATTAATTTGGTATCCTCCTGAAGAACACTGTTTATTTTTCAATCATACAAAATAAAATGAAGTATTACCAAACGGAACCACCGCAAACAATCGTATAATCCTATGCATTCCCTCTTCGCGTTCTCAAATTTCATCTATTCGCTGCTACTGAGTGCTGCGATCTCGATTTCGCTCTTTCATGAGAAGAGAGGATTTGATGGTGATAAGATGCATGCTTATAAAATGTGAATTTCGAAGTAACCATTCGAATGCGAAAACGAGTTCAATGCGGATCGATGTTTCGCATTTAAATCGCAAATAAATCTTCGACAATTCATTGAGTTAAAATGCTAATTGAGTTGTTACTGAGTCGATCAATTGAGTAGAATATTTATAGACATTCCAAGAAATGAACTTGATGACTCGTCTCGCAAATTCATTACGTCTGGTATATGCGAATGGAACACGCTTGTTTATAGCATACACATTTCGTAAGCACTTTCAGACGATGGACTCGTTGAGGAGTCGATAACAAATCTAATAACTGTCATATTCGCGGGCACTTGCAATCAACATGCCTTTAATGGCAATGAACGAGTCAGCATTGGAACAGCTTTGCATGGAGTACGGAGAGGCGATTAGTGAGCCGAACGTCACGCTCGGTATCATCTATATCGTATCGGGGATAATTTACATTGTAAGACGATTTACTTCGTTGATCTGTATCCCGATAATCCACTGCTTTCCATCCAGTCATGCACTCGTGCATTCAGCAATCTCCTTGCCAAGACGATCACTGAATTCTTGGCTGCTTGGCATCTTTTTTTTGTTGTTGTTGTCAGTGATGTTGTGAAGCTTGGAAAATTATTATTCTTCATAAAAATTGCCTAGAACATTCATTAATGACTTTTCCGGTTCCCAGCCCCATTCCTTCGACCCCAATGAGCATCATGGAGAGTAGCCTGAAATGACCTCAACAAAGGTGCATCACAATTGAATAATTGAAGTAATTCAAGTGATTTTGACGATGGTTACGTGCGCAATGTGCATTAATCAGTTGAGTGAATAAGTTCCAAAAATTGATGAAAGGAACCAAGCACTAAAGTCTTAAGCATGTCGAATTCGAAGGCAGAGCCATGCACGAACAAGATAATTCATTTGATTCTCAGTATTTCGCCTCATTTTAATGAATTTCTTCTGGAACTGTTGGCTGATTTTTCATTTTTCATCCACTAATTTTCATTCAGCTTATTCTTAGTCTGCCTATAAATTCTCGTACTATTCTTCATGGAAAAAAATGTTCTCCTTTTAACTATTCCTCTCAAAAAACTTTATCGCTACTCAATGAATGTAGCTGAGAATTTCTCCATTTTGAATTAATTAATATTCTCGTCATTCTCCGGAGATCACAAAGTACAAAAAAAAGCACCAATTTTATGGATTTATCTGCTGCTACACCATAATTTTGCAAACTTTTCACAGTACAATTTATTCATCACGAACAGATACTGTGTCAAAAATAGCAGTTAATTAACTCAGCAGCCGTGTAAATCATTCAACGCAACCTAATAAAAGATCATTAAGAAAGATAATTGCAGGCACTTCAGCTGCTATGTTCATGCGTAATCTCGCAAAAGGATCTGATGGTGAACTCGTGCTTCAAGTTGATGTTATCGATGTGTATTTTGGATGTTTTAACACTAATGTTCACTGCCATCTTCAGTGGTTTTTTGTCGATAATCGGTGCGAGTATATGTGTTTACCCGGTGATGACATCCATCAGTGGTCATATCGCGTTCGGTATGGCAAACGTTCTTCTTTGATGCGATATATTGAAAAATATGCATGTTGTATGATATATTCATTTGATCCAGTACTTTCAAATGTTCAATTTGCTTATTTAAACCTGCAAAAATATGGCTTGCACGTGACGTGGGTGGAATGAAATAACCTCATAATAATTCTGCAATATAATTTTGTTGAGCACAGTAGAGTGTTAATGTGGACAGTTTATACTTGATTGGACAATAGCACTGTGCAAGTTGATTTTTTAGTTCTATTATCGTATCTATTGCTTCAGCCACTCTGCTGTCGTCATCGTATTATGCTTCACGAATGCTTCAGTCACGTGAAGCTTCATGAAATTTTTTAAGGGGGAAATGGGGCAAACGACCTGAAAGTTGCATATCACTTCAGTTTTGTTTCTCCACTTCGGAAATCGAAAACAAGCGGAAGAGCGATGATCTTCTTACAGTGGACACACGAATTGTTGAGAGATTCGAACTACAGGACTGATGTTGACGAATAAAATTGGCCTCGAGAAATTTTCTAAAAATGCATTACGCATTCATAGAATCCACAATGAGCAAGCTTTTTACAATTTAGTCACTGAATATGATTAAATAACAGAGAAAATCACTTTTGTTCGATTCATTTATGTCGAACGCTTTACACAATTAACCGAGGTGGTTAACATGCTCGTTATATTTAACGTGAGAGTGACAGAGGCTTATGGCAGTATAAAATTTGATTTTAGAATTCAGCAAATAACAAAATATCAGTGCGGAATTAATGTGTTAACAAAATTGGTACTCGCATTAGAAAATAGTTTATCTAATTGATAGTTTCAACTGAATTTATTAATCATATTTATTATGTGCAAAAGTATGATGGATCATGTTACTGAGCGCAATCTATCCAATTACAATTCACCCTATTAGTCGGTGTAATGAGTACGTGCATGTGAGCGGCTAAATTTAGAATTCTATGATCGTCGTCATCCTGCTAATAAGAGTTCAATTTTACGGAAGTCAATAGGAGTTGTTTTTAATGGGGAAGTCTTGTCTATATTCTACATCTAATGAGGATCAAATATGTGCGCTGGCGAAAAACATTTAACATTAACCTTAAATTGTAACATTAACTTGATTAGTAAATGACAATTATGCATATTGAATTCGATGTTCTTACGTCACAAATCATCTCGTTTCACTTCTTCGAATACGACTAGTATCGAATAGTGTTCTTATGGGGATGCATAGTGAAATTCATTTGAAACGTTATTTCACTGCATCTTTCAAATAATTTGTTACTTTTCTAAGTGCACCAGAGAAATCTCTGATCTACTTATGGAAAACGTTTAGAAGCTTTTAGGTAATCGAGCAATACGTCTTACTTTCTGCTTCTTCTGAAATTAAAAAGAATAAATCACAACCTTTGCATATTATCTTGATTTATTATGANCATAGCAACATTGATTGATGGAATATGCGCGGAAATCCAGAAACAATCCTTAATTGAGTTATCTTTTGTGAACAGCACTGAATTAGAACCCTTAATCGAGCTTTGAAAAGAAATTATAAATGAGTGCAAACCACAAATGAAACGTTCTCGCTGAGTGAATTTTTGAAAAATCGCACAGATTCCGACTCAAGTGAACGGAAGAGTTTAGAAGAATACAGTGATGAACCATGTGAACTTCAATGATTACTGTACTCATTTCAGGCTTATGGTGTTGTTATGCGATCCTTTGTGTCCTACTCGGTTTCAACAGATGCTTGGATTTCTTATTTCCAAACATCTACCAAGTTGGTTATCACTTTATTATCTGTCATTGTAATTAATTGACACTGGTAAATCCATATTTATAGTACTGAAATTCAAAATATTTTTCTAGAGCTGCCCGAGCGTTTATAGTTAGAGACTTCCCTCGTTTTTTATTAATGCGTGAACTTGACAATTGACTGAGTTGAGCGGAGTGTGAACAGGATGGTAAGTTTGCTTCAAGGAATGAACGAACTGTGGAAGAAATTACAGTTTCCGTTCATTTCAGCAACTGTTCTATGAGCAACGAACATGGTATTGGTTATTGTTGCCTGTATTATATGGTCTCTTTGCTGGTTCGCCATTTCAAAGGCCACTCGTTTACAATGCAAAGCTTGGCTCATGGTTTATCAGCCCTTTGCCTGGTGTTCCAAACACCAGTGGATATACAGTGAGTGATATAGTCTGCACCATGCTCATCCTCCTATCAAATACGTAAACGTTTGTGGTGTAATATTGCATCTGACGAGTTCCTTCACTGATCTCGGGATAAGATATTAAACTTCAGCAAACGATAACGCTGCACACTTCAACGAACATATTCGTGAGTATCACAAATATTATCTTGTACACTCTTATCTATACGCACTTACACTGTCGCACAAAGAACGGAACGAGACGTACGCATATTCAGACTTCAAGTGCGAGATTTCGGGTAAGCGTTGTGTGCCGTTCAAGGATCATCTTTGAGTTCACAGCTTTGCATTTATCGATTTGCCATGAAAAGATCTTGTCTGTAGGTACTTTTGCAATCGTCCATCATATGTCTGATTCTGTGCATATCAACAATTTTATATGTAGCCATTCAACTGTGGCAATTTCCTGATTATGTTTATGTGTTCTCGCAGATAACATGGCAAGCCATAAACGGTGAACGATTTTTAATTGTTTTATGATAATATGTATGTTAACGTCACGCGCACTGCACTAAAACTAATGATTATAAAGCGCTTCCAAGAAAATCAGAACGAACAGCTGAGCAAGAATTCGGGAAACGGTTCGAACCAAAGAAATACTCATGAGGCGTTTTCGTACGAATCACATTCAGTTCAGCGGAAAAAGCTTCTGATTTTGCCGATTTAAACGAACAACAACTACATACAACATTTCAGACATAACATTCTCATTTCTACAACTAACTAGGGGAATATTTGAAGATATTTGCAGCAAGTAGTTTCGATGAAAAAAAAATTTTTCCAGGCAGCAATTCAATAATATACCTCTCGCTAAATAGGACGATTCGGCGCAGGATTTTGGAAAAACTTCGATGCTCGACTCCAAGCACCAATTACGAGGAAAAATATCGTCTTTTCTCATTCAGCGTAAAACCAACAGTAAACTTATGATGAGGTAAATGAAACACACCAAAGTGTCAACTGATCAAATAAATAAAGTGCTCTTCAGATGATCGTCAGCGATGAACTGCAATCAGGACCAAATGCTCGACTTACTGTTGTGAAATGAATGGATTTCCGAACAATTTTTCAGCCTTTATCAATGAATGTTAATATAGGAATGATTATGTTAGGTGAATATCTTAAACATTGTCTGATCAATGTATAAGTATATGCATTTATCTGCGCATTCGTTTCTAGACTAGAACGTAACGATTTAGTTCTTTAGATGTAGATGTTCGTAGAAATATTCGAATTAGTAAAATTATTGCAGAATTGTAAAATTCAGTTAACGATTGTGATGATTATTGGAAAATTTAGATGTTATTAGTGACGGTTATGATCAAAAACTATGTTCATTTAGTGAGAAGTTGTTCGTTTTCTTATTGTATCATTCACCTGTAAATTTTATTGTATGTTTTGTTGTGTCTGTATATCACTATAAAACTGGATCAGAAATGAGTTTATGGCCGAATGGCTCCCCATTTCCTCATCTATACCCGACAAGCCTATGAAGTTTGATACTATCAAATAAAGTTTTGTACGATGAGAAGATCGAAAATTTTTATCGAACTTTTAACCAGAAACCATATTTGGGCAGTTGATATGACATCAGTGCACAACTTCTTCTAAATTTTCTTCATGTGAACGATGAGAGAATTTCGTGGACCAATAATGAATAAATATTGCCTTGTTATGTGATGTTAACAGATGCTAACAAACATCTTCTGAAATCAACATTCGATGAAATATTTCCCGCAATATGACCTGAATGAATGCACATCAGAAAGGAACTAGTAAACGTCGCACATGCTGATTAACTGTTATTCATTCATTCAAGAGGAACCATTTGGCTGTTAAAAAATCGTTGCAAATTTCATTGCATATGAATTCCACTGATCAGTTGATGAAGCTGAGACATTCTATATCTCACCACTACTAACGAAAGATTCACCAAATTTTCAGCGGCTCAGTCAGGTGGCGGCGCCTCACGAGTGAACTGATTTTGAGTAAAACGAAAACGTTGGTATGGGACTAGTGGACACTGTTAAGGCTGAATAGCCCTATTTAAGTAGCCAATTTTGGTGTCTGTGCTAATAACCCCACGATTTTTGATATTGTTAAATAAAGTGTT